GCGCCATCCCGCAGGGCGGGGGGCGGCAGGTGTGCGCCGGAACCTCGAGCCCCAGATTCTAGCGCCGGCTCAGCGACTCCGTGGGTGACGGACCTCACGCTGCTCCCAGCGTTTCTGGCCGCAGCGAGCACATCGGGCGTGCTGCCAGCCCGACGTGGGAGACTGTCTAACGCTGCCTCTTGTTGCTTGTTTTTCAGCCTGAGAGACACTCTGGTGAGCTACATGGAGACTAAAGACAGTGAGGTTCTTCTGCCCGACGTGGAGTCTCAGTTCCCAGAAGAGATCCTGCTGTCCAGCTGTGTCTCCGTGTGGAAAATGGCAGCCGAGCTGAAATGGAACCGACAAACAAGATAGGACAGCGTCCTGTCCCTGCAGGGACCAGGGCAGGGGAGCTCTCCCCTTCTCCCGGCAGGAGGGGCTCCATCCTGGGCGGTCACCTTTGCTGTTGGCGTAGCACTCAACTCAGGACCCGCTGGCTGCTTTCCGAGAGACAGGCCATTTCAGGAGCGTCGGTAAATTCAGAAACTAACTCATCACATTCTGAAGAGTGTTCACTGGGAGGCAAGAGCTAAAGATTACATGAAACTGGAATGAACCACCTTCCTCCATGTGCCAGGAGAGACCAAAACAGCCTCTCAGCTCCCGGGATAGGAGTGGTCTGTCCGAGACCTCCCAGCCTCTCAACGTGCCCGTGCCCGGTCCCCAGCGCCTAGTTCCTCAGAGTTCACCTAGTAGGGGGGACAGGAAGTGGGGTTAAGTGATTTTTGCCTTTTTTTTCCCTAATTTATTCTGCACTCACAGAAGAGTATCTGGCTTTCTTCTTACTTCCACTCCTTTAAATTCTGAGTGTTATACATACATTTCTAGGCTTCCAAGCCATGAAAAAGTGCCAGCCTCTTCTGGTCTCCCCCCCGTACGAGTCAGGGCATTCTGTGAGCGCCCAGGCCAAACCAGCCCGCCCTCACCAGCGCCCTACACAGGTCACTGCCAAGCGTCAAAGGCCCAGAAGCTTTCGTTCTGAGGAGTCAAGGGTGCCGTGGGTGTCCTAGTCTCCTCCTCTACAAAGTGAAAGGGCTGGATTGAAGGCCAGCTCTCCTTCCTGCTCTAGCAAATTCTACATGAAAGTTTATCAGTGTCACGTTGGACCAAGGACACGGTTCCGGCATTCTGCCGAATGCGCACGTGCGCTTGGTGTGCTCTGGACTCCCCCCGCTGCACAGCCCTCTGGTCCTTTCTTTGGGTCTCAACCAGGGCCTACAACCGAGACTCAGGGACAACACAAAGCCACTTAAGCTTCCAAGAAAGGAAAAAATAAAAAGAACAGTTAAGTCCCCGTGGCCTTGCACTGCACTTCTCCCTAAAAGGGTCCTGTCTGTTTTTCAGAATCTGCCTGCGTACTCGTGACCGCTCTGGACTAATGCCTGCCCCCAGGTAGCCCGGCACTGGGGCAGCGGTTGTTTACGAGCCAGCGGTGTCTTTCACACACACTTAGAGTCGACGACTCGATCAACTTGAAATCGGGCCCGTGGGGTGGTGGGAGCTACAGAAATAGAAGATGCCTGCCAGGGACACCCCGCGCCCCTGCGGCGCCCCTGGGGGAGCTGCAGGAGAAGCCAGGCTCCATTTTCATGATTTCCATTTCTCTTCAGCGTGTTTGACGAAGGGGTCCAGGATTTTATACAACAGCCACTTGCGTTTAGTAACCTATGATTACTGAGTCGTTCTATGCAAAGCCCCCCCCCCGCACTGGGTCGGCTTCCTGGATTTCCAGCTTCAGGGATGTGGGGGGAGGGGCTGCTTGCTCACTGCTTCAGCTTGCACTTGGCCCTCCTGTGACACCTCAGCGCTGACACGGAGCTGGCCAGGCTGCGAAGACCTCATTTGGGGGGAGGTTGAGGGGGTTGGGAGGCGCGGATTTTTTCCCCACTTTTATGGGTTTTGTTTTGTTTTTTTGGATAAAGATACTTTGCTTTGTATGTGGTGCTTTCAGAGCACTAACTGTCATTACGCAGCATTATCTTGTTTGTACAAAAATACACTGGCCTTGCCCAAGCAGATGTAAGTTTTATCATCATACCTGTTTTAATAAACTGAGTTTTGCTGCTACAGGATCGTCTCTGGGGAGGAGACTTCACCGAGGCTTTGGGGAACGGTTTCGTTTGTTTGTGAAAATGTCCTTGCAGGGGGTATCCATGAAGTGGAAGGTTCTGGACAGAAAACGTACAGTCCGGTTTAAAACGTGACAGGGTAAACTTTTCCTCTGGAGAAGATGACAGCAGAGCTGAGGGCCCGGGGTGGAGTCTAACCTCCCGCCATCTCCAGGCTCAGGGCCAGAAGCTTAAGCCTGCGCCCCGGAAGGGCGTCCGCCCCTTCCGGCCTAACCTGGCTGTCCCGGGAGGTCACAGCCCTCCTGCTAAAGATGAGTAAGAGCTGACTGGCTGCCCGTGGGTTGGGCCGTGGGATGGAGAAAACAGCTCCTCAGCAAGAAGAGCTAGAGACACATGAACGAGAAACCGCAAGCTTCCAGCAGCCCCCTTCCATCTGAGTGGCAAAACACCGCTGTAGAGGAGAGCTGCATTTTCCCTTCCAAAAAGAAAAGGCTCCTGGAGAGAAACCCATGGTCTGGAACAGAGAAGAGATGCTGGTTCACAGTGGAGATGCGTTCCCCGCCCCCGGCCATTCCCACAGTGTCCGAGTCAGGCCCACGGATCGTCCCCTCCTCAGCAGCTCCTCCCGGACCCGAGCCTCCCGTCCAGCCCCTCCTACAGCTCACGCTCCCTGGACGACGAGTGGACGCTTCCCTGCTGCAGTTCTTGCTTTAGGCCCGGGCGGAAGGTCACTAGGTTGGCGGTGGCTTAACCTGACGATCTTCCCAACTGACCCCGGTCTCCCCTTTAAGACCTTGCCCTGTGTGTCACTGGTGTGCCTCTCCTCAGCAGCTGTGGGGTTTCGCCGTCTGATAACCGAGACAGTCAGGAGCTAGTCCAGTTAGTCCTAGGCTCAGGCAATTCCAACCTGGAAACAAACTCCCAGGGATAAACAATCATAGTGAAAAAAGGGCCTCACTGGAGAGGTAAAGTGCCCCATGTACCGCCAACGGGCACCCCTCCAGCTCTGACTTCCTGTAAGGTCGCTGTGTCAGCTGGAAGCCGAGTAGCAGTTCCTCCAAGCCATGATCAGCATTTACATTGCTTTCTGCTCTGTCTAATCCCTCTGGTCACATTCAGTCCCGTTCTCAGGCATGATGAAGCCTGGTTCCAACTGGAAAAACCCCAGGAAAGGGCCTTCTCCCAAGAAAGCAAATGCTGACAAGACTCACACCTCATCAGACTGGAGTGTATTCTGGGGTAGCAGGATGCTGCTTCCTTGGGAGGAGCTGGAGTATTTCGGGAAGCCATCTGGGGCAAGAGCAAAGAGAAGCTGGAGGGGAAAGGGCCCAGCTGGAGCAGCCGGAAGCCGCCCCTGTGACTGCACGGCCCATGAAGACCTGCCTTGGCCCCTGCTCCCCCTCCCTCCGTGTTCCCTAGCGTTCCCTCCCCGTTGCCACTGCCTGTTCCCTGAAGCACAGCAGAACCTCAGCCCAGAGCACAGCTCCTTAACAGCCACCAACTTTGCCTCCATCTCCACAGGCCAGGGGGTGACTCCTATTACCAAATCCGACGCTTCTGCGTCCTTCCTGCTGTGTAACATGACCAGGCAGGCCCAGGTGGACCCCAGAGTAAATCTTGGCTCTCACTCTATAACTCTCCCATGTGAAAGGTCCCCTCCCTGTACCAGAAGGGAGAGTTGAGGGCCTAGAAGGCGGTATAAGTAAACTCCAGTCTGTCTTCACCATTTACTGCCTGAAGCCCAAACCCCTCTGCCTTGTCAATTTTTCACGAATTCATTATTTCTTTTGTAACAGAAGAAAAACCTGACCCCGTGTAAGATCTATTCCTTTAGCTGTACCCTGTGAGCTCTGTTGTCTGTGCTGAGTCATGCTGGCTCTGCACCTTCTATGAAAGAATGTTGCCTGTAGCCTGAAACATACAGGAGAGCCCATTCTCCATAGTCTTATCTTTAACGTATAAAACTTTCCCATTCATACAGTGATTATAAAGTTGCAGAACAGAAAATAACGAATGTCTTGCTGGAGGTTTATAGGAACATTGTGAGCAGACCCACGTGGACAGCTGCAAGAACAAAGAATCCTGGCATGGAGAAGTTTGCAACAACCAGCCACAGACCACACCCTACTCCATCCTTTAGTATGAAAGAAGCCTGAATTCTAACTTGGGTAAAACGGTTTTTTTAGGGCACTAGTACACCATCTCCTCAGCCTGCTGGCTTTCCTAATAAAGAAATTCGCTATTCCTTGCCCCGACACCGCCTCTCTGGATTTTTTGGCCTGTCAGCCTGAGGAGCAGTATGAGCTCGGACTGGGTAACACTTTCTCTAAAACGAATTAAGCTTCCCACTGTGGTCACTTCTTGGTGTCTTCATTCTCCAGTGAAAGCTCCCCCGAACATGCAGAAATTCAATCAAATGTGTACACGTGCATTTCTCTGCAGACCTGCGTTTTTCAGTGCAACTTGCACACCCCGGCAGGGGCCCTGAAGCGGGACGACTTTCCTTCCTCGATGGCGGTGGGAAAGGCCGACTTGGACCGGC